GTCAGACGTGTGCTCTTCCGATCTCATATCGTGTCACATTAAAGAACTCAGTATCTAAATGTTCAAAATCTACTCTTATTAAGGATTTGTAAAATTACAATAGATTTAAACATTACAATAGATTTAAATATTACAATAGATTGTAAAATATATAGATGCAAATAATATATTGATATCTTTATTTTCCTGCTTGCTTATAAATATAAAAATACGATATATTTCGTATACACATATATAATATGTATATGTATACGCCGCACCTATTAAAAATTTAATTTATCAGATATTATCGATTAAGTTTAAGTTAAATGAACTGTGCCAGTAAAAACTTTGTACTGTTTACTATTATAAAAAAAATATTAGGAATCTAAATTATTTATCTTTTATATCAAAAAAGAAATTTCTATAAATCCTTGCATTTTTGTCTTATAAAAATAGGAGTAGATTATACGACTACTCATGAGTGGGATAAATGACTTGGAAAATACACAAATAATCTAAATAATAATAATGAATAACACGTGAATTGACAACGTAATTTGCATTTACTCATTAAAAAATAAATAAAGAATTATTATTACAGATTATGAATAAGTACATATCTAAGTATATACATACATGAATGTTATGATTAATGTATTGTAAAGGGCGTATTATCACGTATTATTATTTACTTTTATATTTATAAATAAATAATAGAGCGTCTGTGCTACGGCATAAAACATGCTAAAAATACTGTATATTCCAAACAGACAGGATATACGAGACAATAAACTAAACAAAGAATACAAGAGCTAAGCACTTGTATTTTGCTATACTCTATTCTTTATTAATCCTTTATACTTATATACCACGAAATAACCACGAAGCCTTTTACATTTCCTACAATAATCATCTTATGTAGATTATAACTTATAATTGCGCTACTTATTACAGTGATAAATCGATTTAACTTACAATAATTTTATAAATATTAACAGTAAAAAACTGAAATCACAACACAATACTAATATAACGTAAAGACATGTAACAGTGGTTGCAAGAAAGTTAGTTTCATTTCTTCTATTTTTTCTGCGGCGTAAATCCTTGCGCGGCGTATATACCGGGTTTACCCTAAATCGACCTTGAATGATTGGGTTATATACCTTTATACGATCTGCTAGACCGTTCTGCTTCGGCAGTTGCGCAGTAACTCGCGTACAATATGAATTCCGACATGGAAAAATACTGTTAATAAATTTTTCCATCTCTGGATTCATATTGTACGCGAATATATATTGTTGCGAATCGGTTGCTGGCTGTTAAAATCTATCAAATATTTGATTAATTTAAATGCAATTAAATTAATTATTGTTTATTAGTTTAAACAAGTTGAAAACTGTACAGTAAATGTAAAAAATATTAATTGTGTCAATTAAATATGTTTAAATCTTTAAGTCA